AAAGTTGAAGCACCAAATCTTCTCTGGTGGCTGCTCAAACTAAGCCAAAACATAAACTTATAATAAATCTGCAATTTTGCAAGACAAGAAACAATGGAGTTTAGTAGTTTCATTTGACAAACAAGTATCATTTCATCTACCCTATAATTTCACTTAGGTGACTCTACCTTTTGATCATTATAGTCAATTACATGTGACATCTCTTACTCACTTTCATTTTATATACCATGTAATTTCATTAGATAGAAATTTTAGTATCATTTTGACTATGGTACAATTTCATTTGAAATTATACACATATGATTTTTGTTCGGGTGTTACAATAATATTATATGTTTTGGAATGTTTTCTCACTGCATGTTTTTTATTGAAAATATGACTGCATTCTTTTTTAGAACGACTGTAAAACCTTAAATGAATTTAAGCTTAAGCATAATAGATACTATAAAACATATTTTTTACATGCAAATATAACAATGTTATTACCTTTGCTGAAGTTTGAAGCTCGCTACAATGTGTTCGAAAACTGCTGAAAATGAGATAACACACATGACCATCGAAGTTTCTGAAGCAAATATTTGAAAAAAAAAATCCCATAACAATTACCCATGCTAATAAATGCATTTTAATTTCCAAGATCGGAAACGTGTGCACCACCCATTGCATTAATCAAAAACATCTCCACCGTTCACACTCATACCCGTTTCATTTGTTTAATCAATTCGCCGGCAAAAAACGCCGGAAAATGCAGCTCCGGTCAAAGAGATCGAAAAGAACCAAATTTTGTCTGACTACAGAACACCAATTCATGTCCAACATCTACCTATTTTTAATATTGTTAAATGTATACAAAACATGTGACAATAACTACCTATTTGATTATATTCGTAAAAAGGATTTGAGAAATAATTGAATTTAAATTTCATTGAAAAAATTACTACGGATATTAATTCCATTGTTTGATTGATAAGAATAAACTGAGAATAATTAATATAGAGGCTCAAATATTTTATATTCCTCCATATATGTGAATGTAATATATGAACTAATGTTGTAACTTTTCTTCCAAAAAATTTAAAAAATAAAATTTCAAAAGATCAGAGGGTAAAGAATACATTTTTATCTTTTGAGGAAATTCATTTTTCATTGGAATAAATTCTCTATCAACCAAACAAAGCAAAATCATTTTTCAGGTCATAAAAGTTTAAAATGTTATCCAAGGAAATCAAACTCATGACATTTATGTATATAGACTACCTCTAGGTGGGATCATAATTTTACCTCCGGCTTGCACCTCTTGGTGTAATGTTCTAGAAACGCATTAATTCTAATCAGTTTTATGAATTAATTCTAATTCTAAGAACTAACTTCTTAATATTAGCTACTATTACCAGAATTGATGGTCAATTAATCTATTATAGGGTTTACGAACTGATTTTAAATTAGAGTTAAATGTCTCGTTAATGCTAATTTGACAATCCTCTCGTATAAATACCATGGTGTCGAGCAAATGATTTACATACACACGAATGAAATCCTTTTTCCTTTAAAATGTTGTCTTTCGATCTCATCTCGAAAAATTATACCCACCCTTCTAAAATTCAATGTTCTACCCTTGTTCTTCTTTGCCGGTGACATATATATAGTTTGACTGCTCAACTATTTTATCGGAATTCATTTTATCACAAAAAATTCACTGCTGAAAATTATAGAATTTTCGATCACCTGAAAGTGATCTTAAATCAAGTCGAAAGCAAAAAGTGGTCGGAAATAACAACAAAGGTTTTTCCGGATACCAAAAGTGGTCGGAACAAGACTTTCGACTTGATTTAAGATCACTTTCAGGTGGTCAAAAATTTCATAATTTTCAACAGTAACCTAAGCTACAATATTCCTAGCACAGAGGTAGCGAATAAGCTAAGTTTTATGCTATACACGACGTGAATTTGCTTTAACCAGACCATTCTAAATACTTGTACTTTGAATAAATTGCCTACAATAAGTCCATGAGATAATATTGGAAAATTCAAATTCAAGAAAAATAATTTTTCATTTAAGAAAACCAAATAAGCTAGGTTTTATGTTATACACGACTTGAATTTGCTTTAACCCGATCATTATATTCTAATGTCACTTGTACTTTGAATAAATTGCCTACAATAAGTCCATGAAATAATACAATAAAGTTCAATTTCAAGAAAAATAATGTTCTTTTTTAAGAAAACCCAAAAGTATTATTTTTATAAAATTAGCCATTATAATTTATAAACTTGTAGCTTTCATATTTGAGAATAATAAAGTTTTTATGTTTTCAATAAACAAAATTAATAAAGAACTGCTATTATATTAAACGATAAAAATGTCATGTTGCATTTAGTATAAAATTGTGTACGTGTAGCTAGTGGCTTGTACCGAATATTATTTGCATAATCTGTTGTGTCTGAGTAGGTGTATCAATAATAACATAATAACTGTGTTAATCAAATTTTAAAAATTCATATAATATAACAAGCAAAATAAGATCAAGAGAATAATATTTTAATTTATTTTATTTTATTTGAAAAAAAAAACTAGGAGCAGTTGGTGACACAAAAAGTAAGAACGGAATCAACAAAATTTGTCGTTTAGTTGTGTTGTACGGAACCAATACAAAATGATTGCTTACTCTGGTAGGTTGTGCCCATAAACTTTATATGCTGGTGGCAAGTGCATTATTGAAACTCCCACAACTCAATTCTTTAAAGAGTAAATACCTAAAATAGTCCCTCGACTATAGCTAAATTCACAAATTGATCATCAATTTTCAATTTCAACCAATTAAGTCCTTAACTTTGTAATTTTGACACGATTTGGTCCTCCATCTATTTGACCGTTTGTTGACCGTGTTCGACGATCTCCAGAAGAACCTTCAGCTCTCGTCGGAGCACGTGGAGGCCTCCAGGATGACGTTGCACCGGTTTGGAAACACGTCGTCTTCTTTGCTCTGGTACGAACTCAACTACATTGAATCCAAAGGGAGGATGAAGAAAGACGACCGAATTTGGTAGATTGCTTTCGACAGTGGATTCAAATGTAACAGTGCGGTCTGAAAATGCAACCGAAACCTTTAAAACCGACTATGGACCATGAAATTACATATATATCCTCAAAAATCACAGTCAACAAACGGTCAAATAGACAGAGGACCAAATTGTGTTAAAATTACAAAGTTAAGTACTTAATTGGTTGAAATTGAAAGTCGATGACCAATTTGTGAATTTTGCTATAGTCGAGGGCCCATTTTGAGTATTTACTCTTCTTTAAATAATAGAAGTGTCTTAGCCATAGATTAATCTTGATAGAATAGTTGAAATAGACGCGCGTTTTTTAAAATACCAATACACGTGTTTAGTCATGGTTTTTTTTTTTTTTTAATAACCATTTTTGTTAACCATTTTTTACTTTTCATTTTCGAGTGCATAATTTTGTGTCTAAAAAGTTATTGTTGTGCCTTTAAGTGTATATTTTTTTGTCTTTCAGTGTACAATTTGTGCACAGTTTTTTGCCTTTAAATTCATATTTTTATGCATTCTAGTGCACACGTTTGTACCTTTCAGTGTACACATTTTTGTACATTCTAGTGCACATTAATGTGCCTTCAAGTACATTTTGTTGTGCTTTCGAGTGCACATTATTGTGCATTCGAGGTTTTGAACAAAATGCAAAAACACCATAAAACAAAATACATTCAAATATATAAAAGGAAAAACAGAATAAAACAAAATGCATACAAATCAAAGGATTTGATTACTTCATGCCTGAGCTCTTCTGCTTCTTCTCGCATGTGAGTAATCGATTGAGATGTTGAGGATACAAAGACAACAAAGATGGTGTAGAGGTGCGTTGTTTTTTTTTCCCTTTTTCTTTTTTACCCTTTACTATGCTAATTCAAAATTAAGCAACCGCCACTTAAACTTTTCAAGTAAAAACATGCTCTCAAGTAAAATGTGATGATTGATATAATCTATCTAGTTGGGTAGATCAACCGTTAAGAGGTTGGTTAAAAATAAAGGGAAAAGGATCGGGTCAATTTTATAACTATTGCAAACTTTTAAATTTTCAATAATTATAAAATTGACCTCGTATCTTTGTTTTAAGCCCTCAACCATTAGGGCTGTTAACGAACGCAATATGGACGAACAGAGGTTGTTCGTGTTTGTTTGTTAAGATTTTTAGAGTCTTCGTGTCCGTTTGTTAAGATTCTTGAAAATTCTGTTCGCGTTCATTAGTATTTGTTAACGTTCGTGAACATGTTCGTTAATGTTAGCAAACACGTTCACAAACGTTTTCGTTACACACTCACAAGCGCTAAACAAACAAACACATATACATCTTGTGATGTTCAAAATCATAATATGTTCGTAAACGTGAAACAATCTATGTTTATGAACAATAACTAAACAACAAACATAACGAATATAAAAAAAATTAGACTAAACTAATGTAGTATCTTAAAATTAAATAATAAAATAAAATAAATTGCACTTAAATGAGCATGTTCGTGAACCGTCTTAAACAAACGCTGAATAAATATGTTCATGAACATTATTAAATGAACACTAAATAAGCACATTAATAACCATTATTAAACAAACACTAATGAACGCGAGCATACAAATACTCAGAATATGAACAAGTTTTAAAATTTGTTCATTTATATTCGTTTACCTTAATAAACGAATATAAATAATCGTTTATCTAACACAAATACAAATTATTTATTAAAACTCCTTCTTTTCACTAACACTCTTATCAACCATTGATGAACTTTGATAGACGTGGTGTGTTTATTCATTCAAATTTGGATTTCCGTTTACTACTAAAGGAACAAAAAAATGCTAATTCCAATTCTAATTTCAATATTTGAATCAATTACTACGTATTATTGACACTTCATTTATTGAATTTAAATGAATAATTCTTGCTATTTAACATGACAAAAAAAAAAAAAAATGAAAAGCAGGAATCTAGTATATATTTGGGATGCTTTCAATCCCAGTCCCCACCACCATCAACACACACTTAATCCAAGCACCTGAGAAGACCAATAAGTGAATATGAATTCCACTGCTCCAAACTCAGGCATGGATCGGATGGAAGGGTTTGCGAAAGCATTTGGTGCGGTTTCAGATGTTGCTTCTACTGCCTGGGCCTATGCAAAGCAGCTTTCGAACTCACCAGTTCTTCAACCAAAACTCAACATCTTAGGAGTCCAGACTTCCCAAACCACAGATCTTCAAGGATCTTCCTTGACGCCATTAGAAGATAGCCTCAACGTAAGTCTTTCAATTAAATCTTTAAAATTGAGGAATAACTGCGGCTTTTACTGTTTTCCCTTTTTCTATTGAATTCTCTAGTTTTTCCTTTTTTGTCTGTTTTTGTTTCATAAATGGGAGAAATGTACAAAGAAATTATATATTCTTGCTAGATCAACGCTTACTATTTATACAAAAAGTTACTAACGATTTCACCACGCATTTTCGAGACACCGGGTGTTGTTGGACTTTGCCTTTACTGGCCTTGGTTCGGCTCTGATAGCACTTGTTAGATCAAAAGCTATAGTTATACTATTAGCGAAGACTCATATTTATTTTTTATACTACTACACATTCTCGAAAGATGGGGTGTTGGGCTTGACCTTACTAACTTTTTCCCAATAAACTCCCAGTCACCGGGTGCTAGACTTGGCCCTTACCAGCCTCTGCCCAATAATTCTCTAATTTTGTTTCTCCAATTTTTCATGTCTCCCAGAAAAATGGAGAATATGATAATCTGATAAAGATATGAGTGCAGGGGATGTTTACTGGCATGATCAGGAGTGGTGAAATGATTGTGGAAATGTGGATGAAATATGATGGCAAAGATGTTGAGGTCTTTCAACACTTCACCCTTATTGCTTCAGAACTCATTTCCAAGGCATCTTTGGGAAGCAACTGCTTGGAAGCCAAGAACATATTTCCTGGCACTGGGTAATCTCTCCCCTCCTCTTTTCTTATACAATTTATGAAATTATAATTCCTTATATTTATGTGTCTTTTATTAATGGTTCAAAATGATATTGTACATCAACATTTGGGAATTTATCTTCCAACAAATTAAAGGATTGTTTATCCAGTTTTATTGATGTGTGCTCTGTTGGTTTCATAAATATAGTGGGATTGTGAAAAAGAATGGTGACATGGATTCCGAGAAACTGTTAGTGGCCAATCAAGAAAGCAAAAATAGCAGCAAGATTTCGATTGAAGAGGTTGCGGATGAGTGCAAGGCGTTCTGTTACGTGGGGCGTGTTGCGACAACATCTCTCCTGGGATGGGCAGTCCATAAGCTATCTAGAGACAAGAATTTGCAGGAAAGAGCAAGGAAAGAAGTGATTCAAATGTTTGGCAGCGAAAACCCCAATCCAGATGGCATTGCAAGACTGAAAATTGTAAGCACTAATGTCACGGTCCTAGAGTCCGGCCCCACGCCCAGCACTCGTCCTAGGCCCTCTTACCCCACGAACCAGACTTACCCTCATACAGTGCCAAACTGGTTTTGTCCTGCCTTGTCTCATTAGGCGAATGACAATAGCTCCCACCGATTGTGCCCTTCGAATAGCCTAGGTCCCTTTCATAGCCAAGTCCAAGATTAGGGACAAGCTCCCCAAACTTAACCGACATGACTAACTCAACTAGACCTAAGCGTCTAAGGCAGAACTCCCCTTCATAATCAAGAGACTAGCAACAAGCTCTTGGCATGACTAACTGCCCTGCCATGTCTCAGGAATGGCAATAACTCCCAACCAATTGTGCCATTCGAATCGTCTCGATCCCCTTCATAATCAAGAGACTAGCAATAAGCTCCTCAAAATTAACTAGGTCAGCATGGCTAGTTCAGCCAGATCTCGTCCATTCATTCGGTCTAACACGGTCACGCAATCCGTGCTAGACCCTAAGCCAAACTAAACTAAAGGTTTCCTGTCTTGTGTTGTTAGGTGGATGAGATTGTTGAAGATTGTCAGAGGCAATACCCTCTACTGCCCTTCATCAAAATCAAGGGAATTGTGGAAGAAGAATCTAAAGCCTTTAAGTCTTCCTGTTACGATGCTGGAACACGTCTGGGGTTAAATTTCGCCAAGATTGAAGCCAAAGTTGTTCTTTCCATAATCCTAAGGCGCTTCGCCTTCACACTATCCCCAACTTACATCCACTCCCCGGTTCATGGCTTCACAGTCACTCCAAAACATGGAATTCGAGTCATTCTCCACAAGCTGGGAGAGGAAGGCAGTCAAATTACTAGGATTGTTAAAACCGTTGGTGTTATAGCCGCTATGGGCGTTGCAGCTTGGGGTGCTTACAAGGTGGTTGGTAGTTTTGGAGTAGGAGAAGAACCGGACCAAAGAAAGAAGAAGATGATGAAAAATCCTGGAAGGCCTTGGGAGCTCATTGATGCGAATCAGTTTAGAAACGATCCAGTAGCTCGCAAAGCTAAATTTGATAGAACTCATAAACTCAGGAAAGCTGGGAAATTCGCAAATGGTATGCTTTGAATCAATCAAAGTATTTAATTTATTTTGGGTTTCTATACTTGTAAGGTGTTTATTTTAAGCTTCTTGGACATTGTTGTTAGAATTATGTATTTTGGACTTTGTGGGTTTGTGATCATGTTTGTTTGTTGTATTGGAGTTCAGAGTATTGACATGGTTATGTAATATGTTTTTATTATTGTAGCATTTCAAAAAAAATCCCCAAAGTTTTTTTTTTTTTTTTTGAAATATTCAGGTTTTAAATAAGTTCAAAGCCTATTTAAAGTGTACTACATATAGCCTTTAAATCCTTTTAATGGCTTATATATTAAATAAGTTTTTAAAAAATTTTCAGGCAAAGTCGAGTATATTTGAGCATTCAAATATATCATTTTTAACGAACTTGGACAAATATTTTAAGGTGATTTTGTAGGGGAATTCAAAAAGTAAATTTAGAATTCAATCATGTAACTCGACGTTTGCGAGCTCACACGAGTCCAAACTTTGATTTGCATTCTTACTTATGAGAGAGGGTCTCTATAATACACAATTCAAGTGCCAATCTACGTGCCCAATAGGTTCACGTAGTGCAGCGTTAATACAATTTTCTAAAATTTTCTTTTCTAGCTTAACAAAAAGTCCAACATAAAAACTCACTCTTGAAAATATTTTTAAAAAGTAGAATTATATTTATATTAATGTAAATTTACATCCTTTTTCAATGTTAGATAAATGTTTCTTATAAGCATTCTCTAACTTTATTTTCTAGAACTCAAATGAGTGTGTTTTGAAAATTAATTTGTTATTCGTTCATTATTAATTTTGAGTTTATAATATAATATCAAATCAAACCTCTTAGGAGAGTATAAATTCACTTTGATCCCGATTCAAATTAGAAGTAAACTCCACTGAAAATTATACCTTAACATAATCAGTAAAATGACATTTTTAATTAATTTTTTTACAATTAAGTTTTTTTTTTTTTTTTTTTCGTGCTCATGAGGGATCAAAAGGTCCGAACAATTAAGTTTACCTTCACCTATAATGCATTTTAAGTAACAGGTGTGAACTTTACGTAAATCAAAGAGGCACGGTTACCTATAGTCTAGCTAGGGAAGCTTGTTCTACGTCTGTGCGTCAGGAGTGGGTCTCTTCCTCTCTCTCTTTCATTGTTGATGATTTGTACTCTGATTTAAATAAAGGGAAAATGGCACTTTTTCCCCCTGTGTTATATACTTATAGCACTTTTTCCCCCTATATTATTTAAGTGACAATTTCCCCCCCCCCCCTGATATATTAAATGGACATATTTACCCTTAAAATAAATATTTCCTTTATTTTACTTCTCCAACAAATTATAACCACAATTTGAAAAAATAAAATACATTAATTGTTGAATTTAGAATACTTTAAAAATAAAAAAATAAAATTTTAAAATAATGTTTGAATCAACAGTTCAAATTGGATCCGAAATTGTGAAACAACGATTCAAAATAAAAACCAAATCGCGATTATATATACTTATATGTGAGAGTCAATATAAATGCGAAAAAAACATACACTATTTGCAAATATTATAATTCTAATTTTAAGCTATTGCTAGTAGTTGTTCCGATTTGAACCTCTGGTTCACGGTTCAGAATCTATTTTTTTCCACTTCACAATTTTAATAAACGGAAACCCAAATATTGGGTTATGTTATGAATCATAACCGAATTTTTTTTATTTGATTGCTATAGTGTTCGGTTCAGTTCGAACCGAACCGTGGCCATCCCTACGTATAAACAATAATTTGTTGAACAAGAGAAATAAATAAAATATGTATTTAAGGGTAAAAATGTCTATTTAATATTATCAGGAGGAAAAACCGCCACTTTTATAATAATTGAGGGGGCAAATGTGGATGCATGAATAACTCATGGGGAAAAAGTGCTATAAGCATATAACATAGAGGAAAAAAGTGCCATTTTCCCTTAAATAAATGAAGCTTTATTTATCAAAAAAAAAAAAAAAAAAAAAAAAAAGGTTTCAACTTTCAAACATATTAACATTCCCCTTGGCCCCTTCTAAGAGCAAACAATAATGGCATAACACTTAACTACGATAAAGCCGACAGGGTGAAGAAATTAAAGATGGTGCTACTTTTCCCCAATCCACGATATTTTCCAAAGCAAAGCTGTCCCACTCTATTTTTTTTTTTCTTTTCTTTGTTTAAATAAATTTTATAGCTTTACTACTTTTCCATCGACATATCAAATCAGATAGTTAGAATTAGTGCTTTCCTACCCTATAATTTAGTTGTGAAATAAAATCATATAAATAAGTTTAATTGTGGAAAAAAAACATTTTTCCCTCCTAAATTATATGTTTATAGTACATTTTCCAATGAATTATTCATGTAATTACATTAGCTTTTCAATTATTTTAAAAGTAGTGATTTTCACCCTTGATATATTAAATTGATATTTTTACTCTTAAAATTAACATTTTATTTATTTTTCTTCTTCAATAAATTATTGCTTATACGTAGAGATGACCACGTATATCGGGTTTCGTTTCTAAATTGTAATCAGAATATTTAGGTTTGATTGCTATAGTAGTGTCTGTTCGGTTTGAACCAAATAGTGATCATAATTTATTGAAAAAGAAAAATAAATGAAATATTTATTTTAAGAGTAAATATATATGTTCATTTAAAATTTCAAATGGAAAAACTGTCACTTTAATAATTCAGGAGAAAAAGTGCTATAAGTATATAACTCAGGGGAAAAAATTGTTATTTTCCCTTTAATTATTTTTCCCAAAAGGTTGAATACCCAACTCCAAAGGCTTCCCACGCTCCGATTCGACGGAGCATCTGGGATGATGTAAATCATGGCAACTCAGTTGAATATACAGAGGTTAGCGGCTAGACTTTTACTTATTGCGCACAAGGAGTCATCCGCACTTTGAGAGGTTGCTCCCACACTGTTGCTGGTGAGACTTAATCTCGAATCATTATTCTCAAACTTTACTCTCTGTGATCAACTGAGTTGTGTATATGGGCATAAATAAGTTTAATTGTATTGGATATCATGTTTAAAACAAAAAGTGTATTAGATATCATTGTCACTGATACTAATTGGTCAAAAGGTCTTCCCAAATGGGGCCTTGAAACATTTCATGACTTAAAAATCATAATTAAATAATCAACAAGTAATCAGAAATTTTATGGTTGAATGACCTTTGATTAAAATTTCATGACTTCAATTTAATTTTAATATTTTCATATGTACCCAACATAAATGAAAAAAAAAAAAAATATCACTAAGCTCCAGCAATATTGATTTTTAATTGTGAAATAAAATAAACTCTAAAATGTATTGGTGAAAGTAAATTTAGCATTAGTAATTACTTCCTATTTGGAAGAGTCACTCCATTCAATTAGACCACAAGATCATTTGACATGATAAAGGAATTTAATTAAAGCAAAAAAAAAAAAAAAATCATCTTTTGAAGGAATTTATCAGATTCTGCAAAAGAGTTATGTCATTTTTATTTGTTGCATATTTTAAAAAGATAATGCGTATATATGCAAATAAATCCAGTTCAATTAGGTTAGAGCAAAGTTTTCTTCGAAGAGAAGCTATTGAGTTTTGAGGGATTCTCAAAGAGTTCACACAATCATTCTTCATAGATAAGTTTTTTTTTTTTTTTTTAATATTATTGACTCTATTACAATGTAGTATCTGTTTATTACTAAATTCTTAATCTATTGAGGCATAAAGAGCCAATCGTCTCCATCGTAACTCGATCTCATAACCTCCCTTATAAGAGAAACTTGGTGCTATTAGACTACGTACAAGTCATTGGCACTAAATTCCTTTCTTAGTTACGTTATTCGTTCCTTTCGAACACAGGCAAGAGTCTACTTTTGTCATGTCATACAATAATTAAAAAATAAGGAAATTAAAATAATTGTAAGAAGCATGCAATATAAATTTAAAACACACAACGTACATGTACATGTTGTGATGTTTAAAATCATAATTTGTTCGTGAATAAGAAATAATTTATGTTCATGTATCTTAAAATTAAAAAATAAAATGAAATAAATTGCACTTAAATGAGCATGTTCATGAGTTGTCTTAAACAAACACTAAATAAATGGAGAAAAGGGTCAAATAGACCCCTAAACTTTACTCTAAATGTTAATTAGGCCCCTAAACTTTAAAAAAATTCAATTAAACATTCAAACATATCAAATTCGGTCAATGAAGCCCAAAAACTGGTAAATGACCTGTTATTACAGGTCATTTTAATTCCAGCGACGGATTCCAACCACCGGCGATAATTTCCGGACACTGGCAACATTTTTTGGCCGTCCGGTCGTCTTCCACTGAAGAAGACGACCGGACAGCCGTCTGCCGCCTTCTCCAGTGGAGAAGACGACCAGATCTGGTGTAAATAGTAAATAGGATAGTGCAAATAGAATTTCCCTTTGGGAATTAACTCTTTATTAAAACCTCATTTCACTAGTTCCCACCACCACTAACTCACTTAATCCAAGCAACTAGAAGACCAAAAGTCAATATGAGTTCCTCTGCTCCAAACTCAGGCATGGATCGGATGGATGGGTTTGCGAAAGCATTTGGTGCCGTTTCAGGTGTTGCTTCTACTGCCTGGGGCTATGCAAAGCAGCTTCCAAGCTCAGACATAAATGGGAAATCACTTGGTGCTGTTTCGGGTGTTGCTTCTACTGCCTGGGACTATGCAAAGCAGCTTCCAATTTCAGACATAAATGGGAAAGCATTTGGTGCTGTTTCAGGTGTTGCTTCTGCTGCCTGTGGCTATGCAAAGGAGCTTTCAAACTCGGCAACTGTTCAACAAAAACTCAACATCTTAAGGGTTCAGAGCTCCCAAATCGCAGATCTTCAAAGCATAAAAGTAAGTCTTTAAATCTTCAATTGAGGAATAACTGGATGGGTTTTCCTTTGTTCGTTGGACTCGATCTCTAGTTTTCCTTTCTCAGTTCTTTGTTTTCTGAGTTGGAGAAAAGTACAAAGAAATTATCTATTATCTATTTTCCTTTCTTCGATCCAATCAGATCCTGTTACGATCAAGTGCTTACCAACTTCAACTTTATTTTCTTATACTGTCACACATTTTTGAGATGCATGTTGTGCTGAACTTGACTCTTATAGTCCTTTACTGGCTTCCTTCCAACAATTCTCCGTCACCGGTGCTAGACTTGTCTTTATAGGCTTTCATCCAATAATCTCCTAGCCTCCTAGCCACCCGGTCTTGGACTTAGCCTTTTTCCCTCATACACCAACCCTTGAGTGGATCTAATACCACTTATTAGAATCAAACGCTTACCCCAAAAGCTATAGTTAGTAGCGAAATCATAACTTCGTTTAATTTCCTTATACCCCACACATTCTTGAGACGCTGGGTAATGGACTTGATCCTTTAAGATTTTTACCGACCTCCACCCAACAATCCCCGTCACCGGGTACTAGACTTCGCCTTTACCCACACGCACCCAACATCCAATTTTTCATTCCTCCCAGAACAAATGTTGAATATGGTTGGTAATCTGATGATGAAGTATTTGAGTGCAGGGGATGTGTACAGGACTTGGGGTCATTCTCTACGAGTTGGTAGACAAAGACAAACGGATTGTGGATAGGATAAACGTTAAAACAGTTGGTGCTGTAGCTACAGTGGGTATTGCAGCATGGGGTGCGTACATGCTGGCTGGTGGTTTAGTAAAGATAGTGCATTTTGCAGCAAGTGTTGTGTGCAAGCTGGTTGTTGGTTTAGTAAAGAAAGTGTGTTTTGCACCATGGTTTGTGTACAAGCAGCTTTGCGGTTTAGTAAAAAAAGTGTGTTTTGCAGCATGGCGTGTAATGTTCAAGCAGCATGGTGGTTCAGGAAAGAAGATGATGAAAAATCCTGGAAGGCCTTGGGAACGCATTGACGCGAATAAGTTTAGATACAACCCTATAGATCGCAAAGCTATATTTGATAGAACCCACACACTCAAAAAAGCTAAGTAATTTGCGAAGGGTGCGCATTGAATCGAATCAAATCAAAGTATATTTAATTTCTTTTGGGTTTCTATTCCGGCCTAGACATTTTATTGGACTTGTGTTGTTATATGTTTATATTTTGCACTTGTGGGTTTGTGGTTATATATGCATCTGTGTTGTATGGGAGTTTGACGCAAATTATTCTGTGGGCTGGAGTTCAAAAATACACAATTTATATACTGAATTGTTTACAATTTAGACAATTAGATGGATGCACACGATTTGTTCTCAAGTTTTCAATTAAGCAAGTGTTCTCATTGAAACCCTACTCTATATGTATATATATATATATGGGAGGGTTTATGTGAAAACATCGCCCATGTAAAAGTGCAGACACATCCACAGCATCCATCTAATTGAGAAATCAAAGGCTAAGATCTTATTATTACTAAAGTTTCAAATTTGCAATAATTATAAAATGAATCATAATGGACGGCTAAGATTAACCCCCACTTTTTATAGGAGGACCATAATCTCTTTTGATCCTATACGCGATTCACAATTTACCGTCGCAATGACTATAGGGGCGGGGTCATATGGGCTTAGGATTAGTCCGACGCTTATGTTAAAAAAATCGATTTCCGTTTACTACTAAAGAAACAAATAGCGGTGGCAATTTGGTTTGGTTTTCACGAACCGAATTGAACAGTATTGGGTTCTTGTATACCAAATGATTTTATAAAAAATCCAACCGAACTGAAAGGTTCGGGGAAAAAAAAATTGAACCGATTTTTTTTAATAATAATAAAGAAGTAAATACAAATCCATAATTCTTAAATTCCTAATCATAGACTAACACCGCTCGTCAGCTTTGACACTCCTGCCTCGCCTGCAAATCTGCAATCGAACAAGCGTCACATGTTGCCCTCGCCTAAGTTTATATGCTTGTACATATATATGAGTCTTTACCTTAAAGTTAAATTTAGGCATTCTATATAATTAACATTCCCTTTCTAAGATCAATCAATAATAATGGCATAGCAATTTTAAATAAGATAAAGTCACAAAGTAACTTGTAGCTCATGACACCTTTGAGATTCTTCTAAATGAGATGTCACAGATTTAAATCGTAATTAGAGTCATACTATATTGTAATAGAGTAATTAGTATTTAAAACAAAAAAAAAACAAAAAGAAAACAAAACAGGGTGAAGAAAGCTGCGTAAATCCACGATATTTTCCTTTGCAAAGCTGTCCCACTTTACTCCTTTTTTTTTTTTTCTTTCTTTTTTTCAAATATAGTTTTCCTGCTTTTCCATCGACATATCAAATCAGATAGGTAGAAATGTAGAATAAGTGAGTTCCTACCTAATCTTATTCCTTGCAAAAATATCAAAGAGATCTTAGGTGTGAAAGAATAAGGTGTGTTTGGTTTATGCGTTTAGTTATCTGGAATGCAATTAAAGTCGTGAATTTGACTTTTGAGTTCTATGGTGGGCGTTTTTCTTTTTCTCAAAAAAAAAAAAAAGGTGGTGTGAAATAGACCTGCAAATGAGCCTTGCAGAGCTCAAGCCTGATAAAAAAAAAAATAAGTGAGCTTAAACATAAACTCAAAAATTTATAAGAGTAAATGAAAGTTATACACTTTATTTATGTTATTTCTTGAGTTTTTTTATACATTATGTTACAATAGTTGTAGTATATAATATTTTGGTTAAAAATATCTCTATGATTATAACTTTTGTTATCTTTTCTAACTAATTTTACAATGTACATGCATTCACCATATATTTTCTTCTTTTCTTCATGATAATAATATATAGACATTATATAATGTAGTTTTTAAATATATAAATTTTATATATTAATATCAAACTTAGTATTATAAAAAGTGAATTAATTAAAAATAATTTTATTTAAACCTTATTAATTGAATTAGACAAAGAAAATGAGATAGAAAGAGTATTAAATATTTGACTTGTGGGAATTTCAATAATGCACTTGCCACCGGCCTGTCAAATTTGTGGGCACATCCAAGTATCCAAGGAGAGTAAGCAAACATTTTGTATTGGTTCCGTACAACACAACTAAAAGACAAATTACCCAACCAGAGTAAGCAATCATTTTCTATTGGTTCCGTACAACACAACTAAACGACAAATTACTTTGTGTCACCACATCTTCCTCAAAATATAATATTTTACTCTTTTTTTTTATTACTAATTTCAAATAAAATAAAATATTATTCTATTTATCTTATTTTGCATGTTATATCATATTAAATAATTTGTCAATGACCTTGTGATCTAAGTCACATGAAGTGATTTTTTTAAATGGGAGGTTATGATTCAATTTTCAATGGAGGCGTTATTGACTCTTTGTGCTTTAGTAGGTTGAGAAAGTAGATACGAACAAATACTAAATTCTAACAGAGTCAATAGTACTCAAAAAATCATTTAATTTTTGTTTATAAATTTAATTAACACCAATATCCTGGTATAATGGGTACAATTATATTGCTCAAACACAATAAAGTGTACAATTATATAACTCACTACATGTGCACATCTATATATATATATATATATATATATATATATATATATATATATATATATATATATAAGTGCTATTTTCCCGCTTATTGTAGACAAAAAAAATTAATTTGAAATTTGAAATCAGTCAACATAAAATTACTATACTTAGCAAAATTAAATCAACCTTATACATAGCTCATAACTGATTATATGTAAATAAATTTGATATATAGAATCATTACATATAATTTGCATACATAATAAATTTAGTATATAAAATCATTAAATATAATTTGCATACATAACTCATAACCTTAATTAATTTGTATATATTAATTTGCATGGAAAGTCATTACATATAATTTGCATACTATAATTTATATTACATATTATACTTATGTACAAAATAATTTAGATAAAATAATGAGGACATATAAATTTGTACTAGGAATAGTTTTTTTTTTTTTTGTTTTTTTTTTTTTTTTGGAAATATGTACTAGGAATAGTTAAAAGTTTACAATTAGATAGGGGATGGAATTAATTTATAATCCTAACAAAAAAATGATTATTTAAATAATTACATTACTTTAGTCTAATCTTTAAGTAACTACAATGTATAGATATAAGTAACTACAGTGTATAGATATAAAGTCCTTTTTCTGAAAATAATTTTTATAATCAATTATGTAGAGAAGTCAAATATGTATAAGGGAGATATAAAATTCGAATTCCATAAAAATGGGAGAATTATGTATTAGATGAGAGTGAAATTCTAATTCTATTTAATCAAATTGGTTGTTATACTATTCAGTACGTGTAAAATCAATTGTTAATAATAATAAATATTGTAATACTTAGGGGGCGTTTGGTTCATTTTATATAAGATAACTAATGTTATATTTGTTTGTGAATATAAGATTTTCATGTTTGGTTCGATTATGGAATTTTCTCAGGGAATGTCACATAACCTTCACATTAAGTTTTTGGCTATTGAAAAGAAATATGAGATATCTTCAAATTTCTTAGGTAATCTCACATTCCCTTGTCTTATTACTAATTTTAAGCTTTTGACATTTTAATCAATTTATCTTATTACCATTGCCTTATTTACTTACTTTAGTTTTAAACCAAACACAGGAATCTAACATTTTCAATAATCTAACATTCTCAGCAATCTAACATTCCATAAGGTAATCTAACATTCCGTTGAACCAAATGTCTCGTATAACTTGGCTAAAATGTTATCCTGCACCATGAATCATTCCTGATTATTCATGCCGCACCATGATCTTTAATAAGTGATATTTAAAGCCATAAACCATAATTTTGTTTTTCGTCTAGAACTTTTTACAGGTTACCGGTAATAATATTGCTGACATTAAATTTTTATTAGTTTTTTTTTGGTATTTTTCTTCTTTCGCCTTCGTATTATATATTTTTTTTTCGTATTTTTTTTCCTAAACATATAGGCATGCTCTACATTTTTCGCTTCTCGTTTCTCCAATACCAAACTCCTCCAATCGTTATACCGTGCACCAGGGCGCACATAGCAATGTGCGCCTCGCGCCTCCCAAAACGACGTCGTTTTGTTAAGTTGTGTGGAGAATTAACGCGACGAAAATGTATGTGTATTCAGTTATAAAATTCTGTGTTTTCAGGTATAAAATTCTGTGTCTTCAGGTATAAAATTATGTACATTTGAAACAGGTTGGGGATTTTGATCCTTTAAAAAAAGATTATATGTTTTCAGGTTTAAAATTCTGTGTTTTCAGGTATAAAATTATGTGTTTTCTATTATATAATTCTGTATATTCTAGACATGGGAATTTTCAGTTATAAAATTCTGCGTTTTCAGGTATAAAGTTATGTGTTTTTAGGTATAAAATTCTGTGTTTTCTATTATATAATTCTGTACATTCGAAACATGGGGATTTTCAGATATAAAAATTCAGTATTTTCATATATAAAATTCGGTGTTTTCAGGTATAAAATTCTGTGTTTTCTATTATACAATTCTGTACATTCGAAACATGATTTTTTTTAAGGAGTTAACAGCAGACACGCGAAAAAAGTACAAAACGACGTCGTTTTGGTTCACGGTATAATTTGCCAAACTCCGCAGAGCAGGCCTATATAGAACCTGATCGGAGAATCGAGAAGTGAAAAACGCAGAGCAGACCTATACATTTAGGAAAAAAGATATACAAAGAAAAAATAATAATACGAAGGCGAAAGAAGAAAAATATAAAAAAAAAACTAATAAAAAATTCAATGTCAGCAATATTATTATCGGTAATTTGTAAAAAGTTCTAGACGAAAAAAAAAATTTATGATTTATGACTCTAAATATCGCTTATTAAAGATAATGGTGTGACATGATTACATGAATAATCAGAAATGGTTTATATTGTGATATGACACTTTTGGTAACTTTGTGGTACTTACATACTCGGTTTTCTATTACCTTTAACACGGACAAGTTTTTGCATTGTCAAAAACCCTTCCATTATCTCCTCTCACCGGAAGACCAAAGCACAGACTGAAGAAAAGAAAAGAAAAAAAGAGAAGTGAACTGAGAGATGAATTTGATGTTGACTACTGTGGGAGCAATGGCTGCCGTAGCCAAAGTAGCTTACGACTGTGCCGATCATTTTGAAGTGTTTAATAGAAAAGCAAAAGGTGAAGCAGAAACAAGATCAGTGGAAGTGGCGGAGAACCAATCTGCTGATGTTGGGTAAACTACTAAACTCTATCGTTTCTTGTCTTGCAAAATTGCAGATTTATTATAAGTTTATGTTTTGGCTTAGTTTGAACAGCCACCAGAGAAGATTTGGTGCTTCAACTTTGTGATTTTACAAAGCTTGAGTTTGTAAGTTTATTGTTAACATAGATAGATATCATCAATCTAATGATCCATCCTGCTAAAGGGCAAAAAAACCCAAATTTAATTTATTTTCTGGATATCGTTAACACTTGGATAATCATATTAAGAGTGTGTTTGGTTCGAACATGGGGTTTGGAATCAAAATGGGAATCAAATATTTGGTAATTGGAATGAGATTTTATGAAAGTATTTTGCAAGTATGTTGGAATTGGAATGATTATTTGTTGCTTGATTATGTATGACCCTATAATTGAAATAAAGGTTTTAAAAATATAAAAATAAAAAATCAAGGCAATTGATCTATATATATGATAGACATTCAAAGCACCAATATGAACAAAAATTCAAAACAAAAATCTAAAAGGACTAATCCTACGTAGTCAGAAGACGACTAAAGCAGGAGACGATGAAATGAGGATGTAAAAGGCTGAATTAATGGAATGATACCTAATTTAAATTAGGTAATGAGTTTTTTTAGTTATACGGGTAATTAAATCTAGCCTCAGTGAAGGCGTTGTTGACTCTGTGTGCTTCATTAGGTTGAGAAAGTATGTTTGAATAGATACTACAATGTAATAGAGTCAGTAGCATTCAATGAAAAAAAAATCTTATACGTGTGCTTTAAAAGGTAGTTAACCAAACAATGTGTATGACTTTCATTCCCATTCCTTTTGTTTAACCCCATGAACCAAACTGATGCATTCGTGGGACAACAGTACTACCGCAAAAGGCTCAAATCTCACAGATCAGCCATGCCCTTGATTTAAGCAATCTTATTTATTCTCTTTCCTTTTTCAATATTATTCAGAATCTCTTTATAGTTGGTAATTATCTTTCCTTCCTTAGTTAAGTATGTTGGTAGTCCTTAAATATGACAAGAGTATGTAATTGAAGGACAAGTTGGAATTTGAATAAAGATCTCTCAAGAAGGTTTCTCTTCTTCCAACTCTCTGTCCTTAATCTCAGACTTCTCTACTGCCACCATAGGTAGAGCTAAGTCTTCCTATTCCTCCTCTTCAGTATTCCATAGGCCCGTAACGCGAAGTATATCTCGTGATCGTATCAACTTGGTTCCCGTTGCCGGCGTTATGGGCAGTAACATCACTGAAGATCCTGCTTTCAAGGCACTGCAGAAATCTGTTCGCTCCCATGAAGCTTATGCTGACAAAATTGAGAACCTCTCGGCCACTGTGTCTTCCCTCTCTGCAACACAACACCAACAAGCAGCTTCCCTTGTTAATCTAGAACAAATGGTGAAACAACTTCTGATTGCTCAGGGCAAAACACCAGTCTCCGAAGTTGAATCAGAAACAGTGCACCAACTGGAAGGGGATTCGGCTATCCAAGAAACACCGGATGATAATCACTCCCTCATTCGATATGCTAAGATGGACTTTCCATTGTTTTCTGGAGATGAAGATCCTCTTGTATGGCTGCTACGTTGCGAATCCTATTTCCGAAATGCCAATATTCAGGATTCAGATCGCATAACTTTTGCCTCACACCATATGATTGGGGAAGCCCAATTATGGTACCATTCTGAAACGGAGTTAATGCAGTTCTCCTCATGGGCTGCCTTCAAAAAAGAGTGTTGTCTCAGCTTCGGGCCACCACGCAGCATTAATGCATTAGGTGAACTTAAACAATTGTTTCAAGCAGGCCGGCATATCGATGAGTATGTCAAAGACTTTCGAACACTGTTGGTACGGGCAGGCACAGTACAACCCAACCAGCGAGTAGATTTGTTTACCGGTGGATTGGATGAAATAATCCGTATAGATGTGGAGCGCACCAAACCAACGACTCTGAATGAAGCTATCAACACAGCCAGGGATCTTTCTCGCAAATGCCACCTGTTGGGCCTTTTGTCCTCCAAACCTAAACCTCTGCACACCAGTACACAAATTGCCCCGTCATCCGCCCGTGTTCCATTACCCATACGTCCATCACCCAACCGACAAAAGCCCAAATTTAAATTCCTCACACCCGAACAAAAGGCCGAACGCGTAGCCAAAAACTTATGCTACAATTGTGATGAAAAATATTTTCCAGGTCATAAATGCCGACACCTCTTTATGCTATGGACATTAGAGGAGGGTGAAGAACCACCTGCTTTGGAGGATTACACGGAGGACTCCCCGGCATTCAGCTTGAACGCAATCTCCGGGGTGACAAAGGGGAATATGATGAAAGTAAGGGTCAAAATCGCAGCCACTGTTATCGTCGCACTCTTGGACTCGGGCAGTTCAGACAACTTCATCAACGCTGAGACAGCGCGTGATTTGGGACTCCGAATGACACCGCTTAAGGACCTCCGCGTGCGAGTGGCAAATGGGGATTGTTTGTCTGCTTTAGGTGTATGTGAGGCAGTCACTTTCACCAAGGGACACGACAGTTTTTTAGCAACATTATTTGTGCTTCCTTTGGCTGGGTTTCAGATGGTTTTAGGGGTGAAATGGCTGAGAGAATTGGGCCCTATAACCTGGGATTTCAACTCATTGCAGATGACTTTCTACCACTGCAACACTGCAGTAACCTGGACAGCAGAAGAAGGATGCCTTTTCCCTGCTCTGCATGCTATTCCACCGCCAAGTTCAAATGCAGACGTCTTAGAGGGATTGCTTGCCCTCTTTGGTGACATTTTTTCTGAAGTTACGGCGCTGCCACCAGCACGGGAGTGCGATCATCGCATAATTTTGCAATCCGGACCAGACCCTGTGGTTGTAAGACCATACCGTTACCCACAGCTCCTCAAAGATGAGATAGAAAAACAGTGTGCGGATATGCTTCATCACGGCATCATTCGACCTAGCAAGTCTCCATTCTCATCACCATGTTTGTTAGTCCGAAAACATGATTTGTCGTGGCGGTTTTGCGTTGACTATAGGGAACTAAATGCCCGAACAGTTAAAGATAAGTTCTCTATACCTATCATTGATGAATTGCTTGATGAACTACATGGCTCCAAATTTTTCACAAAGTTGGATTTGCGATCCGGTTATCACCAAGTTAGAATGCACCCCGAAGATGTTGAAAAGACGGCTTTCCGGACTCATCATGGCCACTTCGAATTTTTGGTGATGCCCTTCGGCCTTTCTAACGCACCATCCACATTTCAATCTTTGATGAATGAGGTCTTCGGTCCCTACCTGCGGAAGTTTGTATTGGTATTCTTTGACGACATTTTAATATACAGTGCTTCTTGGGTGGAGCATCTCCAACACATGCGTCTGGTTTTCCTCTTGCTGCGCCAACACACACTCTTTTTAAAGAAGAGTAAATGCACATTTGGAGTAGATCATGTAAGCTACTTGGGTCATGTGATATCTAGCCAAGGTGTGGCAGTAGACGAAACGAAAGTGCAAGCCGTCTCCGATTGGCCTACGCCAGGGTCTACCACAGCTCTTAGAAGCTTCTTGGGCCTTGCTGGTTTTTACCGCCGGTTCATCAAGAATTATGGTATCATTGCAGGACCACTTACAAATCTCTTACGAAATCAAAACTTTAAGTGGTCCTCCGAGGCCGAGGCTGCTTTTATTTCTCTCAAACGGGCTTTGTGTTCAGCGCCTGTCCTCCAACTTCCAGATTTTTCCACTCAATTTGTGGTTGAATGTGACGCTTCAGGTAGTGGCATTGGTGCAGTGATTCACCAAAATGATCATCCAATAGCTTTTTACAGCCGGAAGCTAGCAGACAGACACTTGAAGCTTCCAGCCTATGAAAGGGAATTGATTGGGTTGTCGCAAGCTGTACGGAATTGGCGGCATTATCTCTGGGGCAGGAACTTTGTCATCCGAACAGATCATTACAGCTTGAAATATCTCCTTCAACAGCGGTTGACGACATCCCCGCAACAACATTGGATGAGCAAGCTGCTAGGATTTGATTTTGAGGTTCAATACAAGCCTGGAAAATTTAACACGGTGGCTGATGCTCTGTCACGACAGAACCAGCTAGAAAGTAGTAGCTGCTTGGCCCTCTCTATTCATCATTCAGACTTGTTGGACGACATCAGGACCCATACACGCCTTTTTCCAAGGTTAGCGGAGTTCGAACAAAAGATTGCTGATTCATCTCTTGGCTGGAACTTCCAGAATGGGCTTTTCTTTTACAAGGGAAAAATATTCATCCCTCCAGATACTGCTCTCACTTCACGCATAGTGGCTGCCACCCATAATGCAACACACGAGGGAGTTCAGAAAACAGTCCACCGCCTACGGCGTGAATTTTATTGGCCAAAAATGGTTTCAGATGTTCGAGATTTCATCAGCCAGTGCACAGTTTGCCAACGTCACAAATGGGAGAACCTTCACCCTGCCGGTGTTCTCCAACCCCTCTCCATTCCGGAACAGATTTGGGCAGACATATCCATGGATTTTATTGAAGGCCTACCGAATGTATATGGGAAATCGGTTATCCTGGTGGTCGTCGATCGGTTATCCAAGTATGCTCACTTCCTTGCCCTTCAACACCCATACACTGCTTCTTCAGTCGCACAAGCATTCTTTTCTCAGATATTCAAGCTTCACGGATTGCCGGAGTCTATTGTGAGTGATCGGGATCCAATCTTTACTTCTGGTTTCTGGAATGAATTATTTAAACTTAGCGGCTCTAAATTGGCTCGTTCGTCAGCCTACCACCCTCAAACTGATGGGCAGACAGAAGTTGTCAACCGCACCATTGAGCTCTATTTAAGATGCTTTGTTGGGGACCATCCACGTAAATGGGTGGAGGCACTTGCGTGGGCAGAATATTGCTATAATACCTCTTTCCATTCGGCTTTACGGACCACCCCCTTTAAGCTGGTTTATGGTAGGGATCCTCCTCGCCTCCTCTCATATGAGCCGGGCCTCTCAAAGCTAGCTGCAGTCGACGAGGCTTTGAAGTCAAGGGATGAAATACTTCATGATGCTCGACATCACTTGAAAACGGCACAATCTCGTATGGAGCAAACCTACAACCAAAAACACCGGGATATATCCTATGAGCCTGGGGCGTGGGTGTGGGTTCGTCTTCAGCCGTACCGCCAAAACTCCTTGACCATGCGGCGCACTCACAAACTTTCACATCGGTATTTTGGGCCATTTCAGGTGCAGAAACGAATTGGGTCAGTTGCCTATCAATTAGAATTGCCAAGTGATTGCAGAGTGCACAATGTTTTCCATGTTTCACTCCTAAAGCAGTATAATGGGCCTCCACCGGTTACTACACCGTTGTTGCCTCCCGCTGTGAATGGGCGTTTTGAACTGCGTCCTGCCAACATTCTTGCCACTCGTATGAACAGAGGGAATACAGATCTATTAGTGCAATGGGAAGGCTTGCAGGAAGAAGATGCCACTTGGGAAAGTTTAGATGATTTTTGCCAACGTTTTCCATCCTTCAAGCTTGAGGACAAGCTTGATCTCCAGGACGGGGGTGATGATGCATTCGTGGGACAACAGTACTACCGCAAAAGGCTCAAATCTCACAGATCAGCCATGCCCTTGATTTAAGCAATCTTATTTATTCTCTTTCCTTTTTCAATATTATTCAGAATCTCTTTATAGTTGGTAATTATCTTTCCTTCCTTAGTTAAGTATGTTGGTAGTCCTTAAATATGACAAGAGTATGTAATTGAAGGACAAGTTGGAATTTGAATAAAGATCTCTCAAGAAGGTTTCTCTTCTTCCAACTCTCTGTCCTTAATCTCAGACTTCTCTACTGCCACCATAGGTAGAGCTAAGTCTTCCTATTCCTCCTCTTCAGTATTCCATAGGCCCGTAACGCGAAGTATATCTCGTGATCGTATCACAAACACACCCTAAATTTCAACTAATTTAGTATTGAGCTATGTAGGGTCTGTTTGAAGTTATTTTCTGTATGGGTGATGTTAGATGGAATTACTTAATGGAAGTTCTTGCTTGGTGAAATGTATGGCATTGTTTCCATTACCTGGTATCTATCTAATTCAGGTTGGTAATAATGTAAGATACTAATATTAAACTTTTCTAGTGAAGTTTCTTGTTAAGTAGAATTCCGGTGTTCCATGGGAGTGAATATGAGATTTGGAGCAGCATGATGAAGAGTTTGTTTGTGTCCCAAGATCTTTGGGACATGGTGGACAGGGGCTATATAGAAGAAGAGCTGACGGTTGAGGTTTTAAGAGAAGTTCGAAAGAGGGATGCCACGGCTTTGCTTTTTATCCAGCAAGCTATTGGTAAATCCGTTTTCTCTTGCATTGCTGGTGCCAACAAGTCGAAAGAAGCTTGGGATGCACTGCAAAAGAAGTACCAAGGAGATGTAAAAGAACTGAATCGACAGAATTCTGTGGGTGAATCATCGGTTTTGTCTTGCCCTGCTGATGCAATTGAACGTAGAGAAGCTTGGAATGTAGAAATGGAATCTCGAGGTTATACAGATGAACCAAATCAAAAGAAGGCTGTGGATGAATTGGTTTTGTCTTATGCTGCTGTTGCAACTGATCCCGAAGATGATTGGCCTTGGGATGCACCAGAACAGGGCTTTAAGGAATGGTGCAGTGAAAATCCCGATAGTGGATGTGGTGGAGGCAGAGATGATTCAGATTGGCACTTTAAAATGAATCATTCTAATAATAGCACTCCTGTGGCTGAAAGTTCTTTCCATAGCAAGCTAAAGCTCTCTGAAGATAGAATTGGGAAAGAGTCTGGAGATATCAAGAACAACAATTGTGGCTCTAAGAAAGGCTCTAGAGGAATCTCCAATCGTGGAGGTCGAGGAGGTCGAGGAGGCAAAAACTGTGGACACTTTAACAACAATCAGGGAGGTCGTGGAGGCCAAGGCCGTGGTCACATTAACAACAACCGGGGAGGTCGTGGAGGCAAAGGCCGTGGGCACATTGACAACAAACGGGGAGGTCATCGAGGACACTCTAACAACAATCAGGGAGGTCGTGGTCGTGGAGGGCTAGATGATGGATGCTTTAGCAGCAACAAGGGCCATAGTGGAGGGATAGACAATGGACATTTTAACAACGGTTCTGAAGCTACTGATTATAATAGTAAAAATGCAAAATCTGAATCGGCTTCTTCCTGCACTACTAATGCAACCGAAACAAAAGAAGCTTTGGATGCACATGCACTACAACAAGGACTCCAAGCTAATACTCAGGTAATTCCTTTGCCTAAGAAATATTACAATATTATTGTGGCTAAAGATTAGAACTTTGATGGCACAGGTTCATGCTCAGCCTCAAGCTGGGAATCCCAATGGTGGAGAGGGCCAGTACCTGACAACGCTTCTAGTATGTGATCTCGATGTGAGCGTCACGGATCTGCAGCTGTTGGGCATCTTCATCCCCTATGGGCAAGTCGTCTCATCCAGTCTTTTCAGGGACGTGGCTACCCACTGCTCTCTTGGTTATGGTTACGTGACTTATGGCAACCCTCAAGATGCTGATAGAGCGTTGAAGGAGTTGAACTTCACTTTTTTGAATGGAAAGCCCATACAAATAATGTATTTCCAACCAGACTCCACCGAACACGAGAGTGGAGGCTTTAACAGCAAGAAGAGCGATTATGGAGGCACAGATGGTGGATGCTCCGATAACAAGGATTCTAAGCTTAGTGGTTATAATAGTAAGAATCCCAATTTTGAATCAGTTTCTTCTTGGAGTACTAATGCAACTGAATCAAGAGAAGCTTCAGATGCAACACAACAGGGACACCGAGCTAATACTGAGGTAATTCCTGTGAAGTTCTTGATTATTACTGGTCTAGTTTGATTGAGATTGTCAATCAAATGAAAAGAATATGGTGAAGACTTAAACTAAACAAAAGGTGGTTGAAAAAATTCCTTCAAGTTTGGGCGTTTGGCTAAGAAATATATTAGAAGATTGACCAAATGATTTAAGTCCGAAAAGTGTGAATGAATTGCTAGATAATCTCTTGCTAAAAATTATTGTTCTGCTAGTAAAAAAGGAGAGAGGGAAGTGAAAAAATGTAAAAATTATTGGAAATCTAAATTTGCTAGGATTTGAATTTGATGGCACAGGTTAAAGCTCATCCTCAAGTTGAGAATCCCAGTGGTGGAAGCATATTGATCGAGAATTTGGACGAGGCAATTGATGACAGGGCATTGCATGCTATATTTTCTGCATTTGGAAACATTCTTTCCTGCAAGGTGGAAACATATGCCTCTGGTCGGTCCAAGGGGTATGGACATATTGAATATGACAGCAAGGAAGCTGCACAGGAGGCTATTGAGAAGGTGAATGGCACGCTGTTGAACCACAATAAAGTGTATGTAGGACCTTTCGTCAGCAATCAAGAAAGAGCGAAGGCAAGGGGAATGACTAAAGTCTATGTGGCGAACTTATCTGAATCTACAACCAAAGAGGATCTTAGGGAAGTTTTTGGCTGTTTAGGAACAATAGCTAGCACTGTAGTTGCGAGAGATGAAGATGGAAAATCGAAGGGTTTTGGATTTGTGGACTTTAAGGATCCCGAAAATGCTTCTTGGAGTATAGATGTGCTTAATGGCCACAAATTTGATAACAAAAAGTGGTGTGTGAGAAGATTTCAGAAGAAAAGTGTTAAAAGAGCTAAGAATAAATCTGTGGATGAATCTGTTCCGTCGTCCACTGCTAATGCATCCAAATCAAAAAAAGCTGGGAAAGCGGTTTCTGAGAAGAAAATTATTCAAAAACCTCAGAATAAATCTGTGGTTGAATCTGTTCCTTCTTCCACTGCTAATGAAACTGAGTCAAAGAAAGCTGTGGAAGCAGTACAGAAGGGATACAGAGCTAATACCAGAGTACTCTATGTGGACGATAAGGGGGTCGCCCATTTCAAGCTCAAAAGTCCATGATTTCGTAGCAAGAAAGAACGGTTCTTGATTTGATATGATGTTGCAACTGTATAGGTGAATATGCAAAAGCTTGAAATTCTGTTTAGTGCATTTACGTTGGATAATTAGGTTATGATAACAACTTATCTAGTTACTTATATTGTGTTTGAGACTTTGAGTATTGCTCTTTAGTCTCTTTGCAGGGCTTTTCTGCAGTTTTTATTGGTCTGCTAAGGATCAGATTATCTTTTTTTTTTTTTTTTTTTTTAGCGATCAGAAAAACCCGCAACCACTACTCAAGGGTGTGCGGTGTGCACTATGTAAATCCTGCCGTCTCAAATGGTTATTAAGTTAACAGCTTGACCAACTTAATTGAGATTGTCCCCTCCATCATCTTTTTTGTGTTGAGCTTTGGATGTCTTTCTAACATCAGTGTCGATGACAATCACATGACTTTTGTATCATATGTATATATTTTAACTATACAAAACTAATGATAAAATATTTTGAAAATACTGTTGAATAAAGTGATAAATTAAATGCTACTATTTGAAAGTTAAACCTATAAAAGTGAACTATTTTATTAGATCAAAATAAACAAATACTTATCCGCTATAAATGATACACTTCTGATTTCGTTGCGCAACGCACAACAAATTAGACAGTTATGCTCACAAATAAGTGTAATTAGCTTGAATGGCTGCAAAGTTTACATGTCAGCGCTTTTGACATCTGCTTAATTAGTTTTACTCCTATATCTCAGAACTATTTAGCTCATAGTTTAGCTTCTACTACTTTTAATCATACTACGGCTATGTATTGGGACACTGTCCCTCTGACTCTATTTCGACTTATTTCTAATATAACCACATTGATTGCTTTCAAAAATTAATAATTATTATGCCAATTGTTATGGAAGACATGCAGAGGAGAGATTTATGCATGATCATTGGTAGAGAATAAAAAGATACCACCAACATAACTAAGCCACAGCATCAGCAAGACGGTTACGCAAAACAGCTACCAAATCACCAAGTGCCAAACTAGACAAGGGGACATATATAAACACCAAGTTAATGGCAGAGACACCATATTTTGTTTCTCGAGTGCTAAGCATGTCCCAATAGTGTGCTAAATGATTTTGAAGGATAGGAATTGCAAGCTGTTCAACAAGCTATAAATCAATAGATATAAGGCTAGGAATTGCTACAATAATTATTGTAACCCCACAAAAGCTATAAATCAATAGATACATCCACAATTCAATCACCACATAATATATCTAGCAAGAAATATCTTCAATGAGGACAAACTTCAACGAAAAGTTCTAAGAAATTTTGACCCTGATGTAACTAATAACAAGAAAGCATTGCTAGTTTTCATAATTAATTTGTAGTCCAAACATTTGGCCATTTTATAATTACTACATAAAAAAAAGCTTTGGTAAAGATCATAAATCTCTGCTATTAGAAATAAAGTATATAAAATTCAATATAATGATCATTATTCTTTTTCCAACCTGTTGATTACACCTATATGATCCTACGTCCAACATGCCTGCCTTGTGCCGTACAGTTGTATAATTAAGTTGCATAACAAGTTTTATACTAGAAAGACCACCTGAAAAAGGTTTCAGTATAAATAACAGAGATATTTTTTAAAATGGGTTCAATCATTTTTTTTTAAAGATAAAACGAGATATCATTAATTAAAATCCAAGCTCAAAACATGAGCAAATTTACAATGGGTTCAATAATCAAATTTACAAATTCTTTATTATTTTCCTTATCTTGATATAATACACTCTTACTTTAAAAAATAATCTCACTTTCGTATTTTATTACAAATATAATTATAAAATAACAAATAAATAATTTTAAAAATAAAATAAAGACAAAAAAATGTCATGTGACAGTCTTTTGTATACTTGTTGGTGACAGTCTGTCACATGACATTTTTAAAAATTCTTTATTTGTCATGTGACGGTCTTTTGTGACATTTTTTTTTGTCTGGTGAGCACACTCATGTGTCGGTACCTCGGCTTCTTAATAAACTAAATTAAAAATAAAAATAAAAATCACATCTGAAAAAAAGTTTGAAGAAGTCAAATTGCAATAAGAGTTCTACTATATAGACTTTCAAAATTTTACTCTCTTATTTATACTCCCTAAGTTAGCAAAATAGGATTGGTTATTTTCATTATATGAGGCCACAAAAAAATGTCTACACCAAGAGTATGTGAGAGGGAGTACAAATTGAGAATTTAAAATGAGAGTACACCAAATATTTTCGGATAGCATTATCAACTTGGGCCACTTGGCAGATTATTGTGTGGACCGGTGCGGTGTGGATCATAATAATAAAAATTACATTTTTAACATATTAAATTATATTATTCGTGTATTGAATGTACAATATACAAAATAATATGCTTTTAGTACTCAAATAATATATTTTCTCAGAATAAAATGTAGATTTTTAATATACTAAAAATACATTATTTATGTATTGAATGTATATTATTTGATAGTATGGTCCACACAATAATAATTGTATCAAACTTGCCCTCGGCTAACGTTCTTCATTTATTCTCAACCTCTCAATCCCAGCAAGGCTGTCACTATAAATAACAGAGATATTATTGTATGTATATCAACTTGCACTGGGCTAACATTCTCCTCAGATCAACCTCCCAATCCCAGCAAGGCTCTTCAGGTATGCATAAAAAGTAGTCATTTTAATTATATACTTAGCTTCCACACTCCGCTCTATTCCTTAACTAGGTATAAATCTTGCTAAATTCTACCAAACGAATTGAATATACTAACACCTATATCTATCTAACTAAAATTCTTTAATTCAAGGAATTTTGAACGTTTATTTTAACTTAATTTTGTCTCTGGCATATTTAAAGAATTAATTTCACTTTTGGTCCACGACTTTTGAGCTTCTATCACTTTTACAGCACGTTTGGTTCATGTAATGAATTTGGAGGGAATAAGAATGCTATTCCACAGGGAATGGAATAGGTAAGGAATAGAATAGGAATTGTATTCTGTTGTTTTGTTGGCTGAAGGAATAAACTTTAGTAATTGTATTCCCGTGTTTGGTTGGTTAAAGGAATAGAAATTGAATAGGTTTTAAAGACATAAATACCTTTATACAAAATAATAATAATAATAATAATAATAATAATAATAATAATAATGAATATGATTATGATATACTGAATATATATATATATATATATATATATATATATATATATATATTTATTTATTTATTTATTTATTTATATATTTATTTATTTATATTTATATTTATATATATGCATCTGTGTGTGTGAGAGAGAGAATAACAACAACAACAACAATAATAATAATAATAATAATAATAATAAATATTTATATTTATATTATACAAATAAATATTTATATTTATATTTATTTTCCCACTTATCCCACATTGGTTGGAGAAGTAAAGAATGGAGTCTTGAGGCTCCTATAAAAGGAGCATCAAGGCTCCATAATTTCAATTCCAATGCTCATCCGCTAGGCAAGCTTGCAATGCCCATCCGCTAGGCATGCAGATGGGCAGACTACTTAATTTAGGAGCCAAGGCTCCATAATTAAGGAGTCTTATATAGTTAATTTTTTTTTATTCCAAAGAATGTTATTCCATTCCTGACCTATTCCATGAACCAAACATGCCATTAATGTACAATTTTAAAATTTTTTAATTTTGGTGCCTAACTTTGTAGGCGTAATTTTTATCAATTTTGGTCCATTTGGCCAAATTGATGGTGAAATTTTGCTGAATTTTATATTTTTAGGGATAAAATCGTAATCCCATGAAAACATCTTCAATATCTAAACAAAATCACGGTAAAATCATATCTATAGGTGTTTGATCGATGAGAATAATGAAAAAGACGGGCAGAAACTAGACACATATCTATGAAATTTATAGCATCGACGATTAGCAAACACTTCTTTTTCTCTTAATATGATTTTTCTTTTGTTTAGATATTGAATATCTTTTTTTTGGGATGACTATTTTGCCCCTAAAATATAAAATCCGGCAACATTTCACCGTCAATTTGGCCGGAAGAATCAAAACTGATAAAAATAATAAAGTTAGGCACCAAAGTTGAAAAAAAAATTTAAAATTGTGCACCAAAAGTGATAGAACTTCAAAAGTCGTGGGACCAAAAGTGAAATTAATTCTATTTTAAAGAGTTAATTATGAAATGGTCCTCTGACTATAGCGAAATTATCAACTTGGTCCTTGACTATTATTTTTGACCAATTAAGTCCCCACAACTTTAAAAATCGTAACCAATTTGGTCCTCCGTTAAGGTTATGTTAACTTGAGACCAAATTGGTAATTTCACTATAGTTAAAGGACCATTTTGGTAATTAACTTTTGAATTAATTTCACTTTTGGTCCCATGATTTTTGAGGTCTTATCACTTTTGGTGCACAACATTAAATTTTTTCAATTTTGATATCTAACTTTGTTATTTTTATCAGTTTTGGTTAAGCCAAGTTGACGATGAAATGTTGCCGGATTTTATATTTTAGGGACAAAATCATCATCTCAAGAAAATATCTTCAATATCTAAACAAAAGAAAAATCATATTAAGAGAAAAAGAAGAGTTTGCCAATCGGCGACGTTATAAATCTCATAGATCTATGGCTAGTTCTGCCCGTATTCCCCATTAGTCTCATCAATCAAACACGTATAGATATGATTTTACAGTGGTTGTGTTTAGATATTGAAGACGTTTTCTAGAGATCAAGATTTTACCCCTAAAAATATAAAATTCGACAATATTTTGTTGTCAATTTGATCGAAAAGACCAAAACTGATAAAAATAACAAAGTTAAGCGCCAAAATTGAAAATTTCTAAAGTTAATTACCGAAATGGTCCCTTGACTATAGTGAAATTACCAATTTGGTCCTGAGTTAACAGAACCCTAACGGAAAAACTAACGAAGGACCAAATTGGTTAAGATTTTTAAAATTGAGGGACTTAATTGGTCAAAAAAAATAATCAAGAACCAAATTGATAATTTCGCTATAGTCAAGTGACCATTTTGATAATTAACTCTATTTTAAATTACTTGACCTGACTCCTTGAATTGCAGTGTTGCAAAAATCGGGTCTAGGCGCCGATTAATCGCCGCCTAGGCGCAGGCGGTCGGCCACCTAAGCACCCGCCTAAGCACTCTAGGCGCCAATTAATCGCTCTAGGCGCCCTAGGCGGTCCCCAGGCGCCTAGCAATTTTTTCAACCTTGTTGAATTGTCTCCTAATATTTACTGATGGCATCTTATATTTCAAATCTTCCAAAAGAGTTGGCCATTATGTACTTTTAAAAGAACATCTAATTCAAAATTACAAATTATCCCTGAAAAAAAAACTTGTGACAATCCATGAAATAGATCTAAAAATGCACAAATTATATCATGGACCAGGGTCCACCTTGTAGTGTCTATTTTGTTTTTTTTTTTTTAACATTCAGATAATGTATCTACAGCAAGATTGCAAAAAAGTTAGGCGCCGATTTTTTATTTTTTATTTTTTATTTTTTTATTTAAAAAAAAAATTAAAATTAAAAATTGTGAAATTCACTAATAAAACATAAGGTTCCTCTAGTTTTTTCTTACAAATTATTTACATAAGTGGTTGTAAAATCGTTTTGAATATTGTTGAAACCATCTAAATACATAAAATGTTAAAATTAAGAGCAAAAGAAGCATTTTTTGGAAAAATTAGAGGGCCAAACCCCCTTTGGCCATTTGCAGTGGATAGATCTCGAAAAAATACGCGATTTGAAAAAAAATGTCCAAAACAAACAGCCAAGTCAAAAGTTATGTCCTCCTGAACTTTTCCAACTTTACAACGCAAAATCACCGAACCGGCCGGCTAGACGGTCTAGGCGGCTGCCTAGACCGCCTAACCGGCCGCGGAGGAGGCCGATTCTGGCCTTCCTCACGGCGGCCGGCAGCCGCCTAGCACCTAGGCGCGATTTTGCAACCATGATCTACAGTTAACATATTATGTAACTTCAATTAACTATCTAATAAACTAAAGATACATAATATGTTAACTACATGTACATCATTTGTTAACTGTAAATATATAATCTGGGCTGAGTCCATCATACGTAATTACGTATGATAGACCTTGATCCACAATATAACAATTGTAAAAATGGGTTTGGGACACAAAAATGAATTTAATTTTTACAATATTATCTTTTGATTTAAAAGTGAAAGGTTTTAATTTAGAAGTTATTACTACAAAAGTATTACCGTTTTTTTTTTGGTTTTGTTTTGGGGGTAAAGTAATAGATTTAACTTTATATTTGGTATTTAATTTTTAATCGAAAAGTAATAGTTATTACTTTAAAAACTTTACCTTAAAGGTGGGATGGCAGATGAGTATCTTGACCCTTCTGCGAGTGTTGACCTACTGGCTTCTTTTGGACAGAGTGACACTGGAATGGTATGTAATCTACTCTACAATTACATGTATACGGTATACCTACAAGGATTGTTTCAATGATTTTTATTAGAGTTAATTTATTTTTGTTACTAAATTTATAGGTGAGAATTTATTTTTAGTCATTTTTTTATAATACTTACATAAATCAACCTATATAACTTGGGTATCCCTTGGGGGCTAAACGGGACGGAACGGGCCGGATAAGAGAAATATACAACTTGATCTGCCTAAAAACGTGATAAACGGGTCCAACCCGGCGAGTTTAGCCTGCTCGATAAGCCCGACAGACCAAGGTTTAGGGTTAGGGTCAACCTGACCAAAAAAAAAATAAAAATGATAAGCCTAATAGGGTTTGCTCTAAACCGAGCGGGTTGGCCCGATTGAGATTCCTAATGTACGCAAATTATGCCCTAGAAACGTGTTCACCATGAATGGTGAACACGGGTCCAAACAGCGCTGTTTTTACGTTAAAAAAAAAATTTTGCGGATGTGGTGTTAACGGCGCGCGTTTGGTCAGATTATGAATTTTCTGTTATGAGATTATGAATGTACTGTAAATTCATAATCTCATAATAGAAAATTCATAATCGCATAAAAGAAAAACATTTATTAAATTATGAATTTTTTGTTATGAGATTATGAATTTACTGTAAATTCATAATCTCATAACAGAAAATTCATAATCTCATAACAAAAAATTCATAATTTCATAACAAAAAATTTATGAATGTTGAAGAAGCTTGCGCTACAGAGGAGCAGTCACGCGATTAAAAAAAAAAAAAAAAAAAAAAAAGATGACGGTGCACTAACACCGTTGGGACCGTGTTCACCATGGATGGTGAACACGGTTCCATGGCATAACGATTGCCTAATGTAGGACCTCGATGTTGAGCTCTCTTTCGGGAATCTCATTTTGGAAGATAGACAACTTACCCAAATATTAATAAATCGGGTTTTTATTTGTTCAATGGATGCACCTAATAACATTTTGAAAGAATTGAACTGTTCCATAATGACACTTAATTTGTTTTTCCATATCTCTTTAGTTCTAAGGGAGATCGAGTTCGATCAATTTGTCCACCAACTCTTTTGATGTGTTGGCATATATATTGCAGATGATTATGCTCTATGTCTTGTTCTTGTTCTCACGTCTTACAAAGCTTGTCCTAGACACATTATATAGGTGTCTGAAGACTGAAAAA